TAGCAGGGTAGGGCTCAGACTTGTAGCCAGTGCTGCTCATCTAGTTAGTAGGACATGCCTCAGTGGCTCTCAGGCCCACCTCATCCCAGTTGACAGACACCTGCTCCCTCAGTGACAAGGACAAGGAACCCAAGAGCTAAAGTCTCCTACCAGTCACTGTCTCTGTCTCAGTTGTTGGCACTTGAAAAGTAGAAACATGTGTCCCATTCCTTTAGGTGACTCAACGGTAGTTCAGCAGTGTCTTACTTTTTTTGAAGGGAATATAAGTACATATTTATGTGATATAATGGCTCATTTTTGTTCCTAACCATAGATTAGAAAGAAATGGAAAATATTCAAGTTGATAGTAAAGGTGCAAAAGAGAAAATGAATATGTTTCTTAAAATATTTAAAAATAATTTATATTTATAATTTGTCTCCACATTTCATTTTGAAGAATAGTACAGTGTTTAGTTAGGTATTTTTCCCCTTGAGGAAAAAAGTTCTTTGTCCCTGAGATCATCATCACAGCTTGAAAATGTTTTCAGGGCTTGGAGGTTTTCTCTGCTGTGTAACCACATAGATGTTCACATTTTATGTACTGCCAAGATCTCTTCTCTCCTGCCTTACTGTGATTGGGCTCTTTATAGTCTGACAGAAAAGTTGGAAGTCTTTGCCACTCTTCAGAATGTATCAGGAACCTGTAAGATCAGAAGAAAAGACTCTGGACTCTATTACAAGGACGTATAACCCAATGCATGATCTTTCTAAAAGGTGTCGGTGAGGATGGAGCAAAGGAAGGCAGATGTGGATGGAGTGTGTAGTATTCTAAGTGTCACAAGGATGGGACTTCCCCCTTAAGATAGTGACCCCTCCAGTATGTGAATCTAGAAGTGAAAGAGGCACCCACGTGCTAAGTTTCAGATAAATGAGATGTCTAGACTAGGTTGGGTGAATTCTGTGGTAAGTAGAAATGCCGTCACACTCAGGGGACTAGATTGCCTGAGACATTGGAAGAAAAGCCAAGCGCTGATGTCTAGAGTACATAATCCACAATATATTTGTATTCAGCGATGAGAAAGGCAAAGCTCAGTGCTGGGAAAGGGCCAATCTGATATATGCTGGGGGGGGCGGGGCATGACAAGCTAAGTCCTTTCCTGGAGAGCAGTTTTGACCAGAAATGGTGGGCAAGCACCTGGGCCCTGGTTGGAAAGCATTTCCCCAGGGGGATGAATTAGTATTGTCAGGCTAGGTCTGAGTTCTCTGGATTAGCAAGAGCTGTAAATTCAACTGAGTGCAAAGAGGAACCCCTGCCAAACTGAGCACCTTGCGGTTTTTCTGTACACATGGATTGTCCTCCAAGACATCTTCACATTCTAGTTAAGATTAACCTTGCCCTCAAATGAACTCATTTGAGCTATTAAAAACAAGCATTTGGCCATGCCTGAGATTATAAAATCTGCCCTTTTTTGGCCCAGAGACACTGGCAGTAGAAAGTTAAGCCAGAACATGGCTGGGGTTATGTTGGTTCTTATCAAATGAGGTCAGTAGCCCAGCGACTAGGTCTGCTCCAGAGTGATCAATGGTTTGAGCTCTGAGCCTCTTCTCACCAGTTTCTTTAGTTGGGGTGAAGTTTCCTTCCCTTCCCCACCGAGAACGGGACCTCTGGTGCTCATCATAGAGAGGTTCTCATCCTGACGGTGCCACATACCTGACCCACCAAGGTATAGAGGATTAGGTGCTGCTGGAATCTGTCCAAACTCGCAGGCCCTGACAGCCCCTTTAAGAGCTTACTCTTCTCTGTGCAACACGCCGCAAGTGGTCTAGCTGACCAGGATCAGACCTGAGCCTTGGCTGTCCATGCTGCCTGGGTTTGACCAGATGATTGAACAGCAAGACTAAAAAGTGTCAGGACATATCCGTTTATATTAGAGCCATTTGTAGGGAGCTTTGCACAAGACTGATTTTAAATTATTAAAAAGTATGCTTCCCAAGTCAAGCTAGTATATTTTAGTAATCCTGTGTAGTTTGAATTAGATTTTAGCAAAAGAGAGGATGTGCCGTAGATTAGAATCTCTCAGAATCTCGTAGAGCTACACTCCCTATAAATATGAAAGTTGTCATTTGCTCTATAAAACTTCACTGACAGTGATGGTTTGAATATATTTAATTTCTGGTAAACAATGATAAACATTCACATTATCACTCTTGTCAGCTCATATGAATCTTTCAATCTTTTAAAGTGCTAGGGTTTTTTCCCTACCTTACTCATTTCTGTCAACAAAAAGAACTGGGCATTACTTTGTTTATAAATGCTGTCTGCTATCTGGGATCCCTCTCGGTTTACAGACAGATTCTCCAAGTTGTCCATACCTTTCAATGTGTGCTTACTCTAATACTCAAGCCCAGAGCCCTCCAGGAGCCAGCACAGTGGACAGCCAGACGTGGACGCTACTATCCAGCCACTGGAGCCAGGGCCCTCTTAATGCTCATTTGTTAACCTCCTAGCCCCAAATCACTTCTGTCTTGCAGTGACTTCTGTGAATATCAGTTTTTTTCTTTCCAGATATCCCTTTTATGGCAAGTAATGCATGAATATGTTCATGTATTCAAAAGCTTCTCTCATATCTGAAGTATCTTAAAGTACTTTCCCTTGTTTTTGCTCTATTCTCAATGACTTCTAAAAATTTGCCAACAAGCCCTAATTATTTAACTCTGTGAAATATTTGTACTCATACCTCCTCAGACACTACAGAAAATGCTTCGAAACTTGATTTCAAGGTTCCAACAACTTTGGATCTTTCTGTGTGTTCCTAAGTTCCATACTCTCAGTAGTACATCTTGGAAGTTGTTATGGTGGAAAAGTTGGCATGCTTTTTCCAAACAGGTTGGAGTTTATTTAAGAATTATTTCTGACTTTAGCCATTGTTCCTGTCTCTAAGATTTCTTCACATTACTGCTTTTTCACATTTAATTACTACTACACTTTTCTCCTTCTTTCACAAGTAGAGATTTTTTTTAATGCCAGCAATATAGGAGGATGTCTTGAAAGTCACATAATACCCCTTCCCCTAATTCTTTAGTGAGCTCGAGTGCTCTGGCCTTTTTAAAAGAAAAGTCTAGGTCCCCCATCAATGCCTCCCCACTCTGTCATTTAAGCCAGACAGTCTGGTTTCTACCATATTAAAGCAAATCAACTTAGTAAGGAACAGACTGGCTTTTATTTATTGGCCATAGTTCTGAGCACCAGAATGGGCAAAGGAGACCAAATAGAGACATAGGAAAAATGAGGCATTGAAGGGGAGCCAGCGTTGGGTTTGGAAGGGATGCTGCATCTGCTGTGGCAGGATGTGCCTTTCCTGCACTGTTTACTCTGAGTGCAGAAATAGAGGAGGCAAGAAGGTAGAGCTTGCTGCAGCCTGAAACGGAGGCAAGGCCTACCAGGGCTCATGTAGAGTGCAGTGAGACACTGGATGTAGTTATGCAAGGGTTTGCTTATGAATAAATCACCTTCCTCAGCCTTAACTCTCAAGGTTGAAGGAAGCCTGAGGGCATGCTTTGCCAACCACACAGTGACTCCGCCCAAGTGGGAACTGAAAGATGCTTGATTTACTACTCCTCTGTAAATTACTACTACTGTTCCCCCCTCCAGGTGCACCTGAATGCACTTTGAACTCTTGATAAAAGGAACTTTGAATCTTAAAGAACTTTAAGATTTCCACTCCTTTCCATTGGAGAAGGCACTGCTTTGCTTGGGTAGAAGATGGGCCAGGAGGAGGGGTGAGAGGATGAGTGTGGTGTGATGTTTTTAATTTGTTCACCCTAGTGACATTCAAGCTAGTTGTGTGCTTATTTTACTTTTTATTACACATCTCCTGGAATGTGTTTCAGTGGTATTTGGAGGCCTGCTCAAGGAAGGAGATGCTTAAATTTGCTCAGGAAAAACGTGCTTGATTTGTTCTTTATAAAATAAATTGAAAGTTTTAAACATATTTCTGAAGGCTCTGGACCTGCTCAATTAGAATTCTAAGATTCATTCATTATTAGCATCATGTTGTCTTTTGTGTGAACATAGATAAGATAATAAGATAAATAGGAATTGTGGGTAAGAAATGTTCTAGCAAACTGCTGATAGGAGTATTAAATGCCTCTGAGTATGGCATAGGGGAGTTAGGTTTCCCCCCCTTACTCACGGGTCTAATAAGAGACCTCACTGGAGTGTTTCATTTTTACATCAAGGAATTTGAAGCATCATGTAAGACTTGGAAGGCATTGAAAGTATATTTCTAGCCTAATAAACTGAGACTGCCTGTAATAGACATAGATGAATTCAACCAGTATTCAAAGTGCTCATCAGACATTCAGTTCATTTCTGTAAGCATCGATTGAGCTTCCTTATTGTCTACCAGCACTATCGGATGCAAAGCACGTGTGGAAAGGCTTGTGACCATTATTTAAGCATCAGTGGAGAAACTGCTCCCCGTCACCAGAAGGGACTTGTGAGGGGCTCGGAGGACTCTGCATGGCAGGAGAGAGGTGGCTGGAGAAGGCCTCACATGGCTCACTCTCTCTGCGTGGGCAGTCCTAGGAATTGGCTGGGAAGGGCAGTGCCATTTCAGAGCTAGTGGTTCCTCAGGAGCTGCAGTCAGACTCATGGTTGATCGAATTGGGCAACTTGAGCAACCCAGATGTGAGGAAGAGAATCTTAGACATTGTGATCCTTCATTGCAGCATAGCCTTGTGCCTGAAAGCACCTTTTTTATTTTGTTAACCAAAAATCACTTTAGAAATTCCACAAGAACAGTGAATGACCTCAGTTACAGAATGTTCTGTGGCACCTTCTTGTTCAAACTGAGATTTCATTGTAGAGCACGTCTATATGCAGCATGGACACTTCTCTACAAGCTTCCTGTCTGTTGGTTTTGTTCATCTGCACTCAGAAATGAAGCAATTATCCAAGATACTCCTTTATTTTCTTAAGATGGTTTGTTTGTTTAAGTCTGTGCATTGTTTTATTTTAGGGAAAAAGAAACAGTGGTTTCAGACAATGCTTCTTCGGGAGCCAGAAGCACTGCAAGTTGACAAAGCTTTGTCCGGCAATGGGATACACATTCAGGCTGGCCGCTCGGAATGACATCGGCACCAGGTATGACGTGTCTTGTCCTCTTGTCCTTCAGCGTTTGGGTGATGATGTCTGAGCCTTCTCTCATGTTGCTGGAAGGCATGAGGACACCTGCTGCTTCCACGTGGATAACTCGAGACTTTCCAAGAGGGAATCCTGATCGCAGTGAGGAAGGCCTCTTCCGACCTGATAAGGCCACTGTGGCCGCCTTGCAGTCTCACCCGCACGTGACATTGCAAAAGCCCCATTAGGATCTCTGAGAACCAGGATGAATGTAGCAGTACAGATTTTGAAACCAGTTCCTCTGGGGCTTTATTTTTTTGAGAACATGTACGTTTTTCTTTCATTTTAGCAAGCTCTTTATTCAGTTGCCTTTTTCAATTATGTGGAGTTTCCTGATACAAAGAAAGAAGTGCTAGACTGGCCATTGTTGTGAGGCCCAGGGCAGACACAGAACTGGGGGGAACCTGGACTGTCTTGGAGGCCACTGCATGCCTCCAGGAAGTGGGAGACAGAGGAACATTGTGCTGGGAGGTAGCGATTGATTAAGGAGGATTTGAAGGGCCGGGTTTTTCTTGTACTTGCAGGGCAACTCTTGATTAACGGAAAAATCGTTTTCTTTCATCACTGCTTGTTGAAAATCTTCTTAAAGGTTTGGCATATCAGTGGTCCTCAACCTTCTTTCCTGCCTAAAGAACCTCTTCTTAACACAAAGTTTTACGGGCCTGCCTCTTCCACCTATGTTAGCCATTATCGTTTTAGAGTTAAAAAAAAAACTCATAATGATAAAGACTTCTGTGAGTTCAAGGATTTTTAAATGAATTGGAAGCATCCACTGACTTTTGAAAAACAGTACTGTATATATTTGTAAAACATTTATTTCATCAGCAGGCAAATATCTGTGCTCACATTGATTAGAAGACTCCTTAATGACTAGGGTATGGTAAACATTGTACTTCACTATGCTTTCTGTTCCATGCTTTTGGGGGGAGATAAAAATTTTTTTTTGCATTTTAAAAATAATTTTAAAAGTTGTGGTGTACAAGTCAGGATTTGTTACATAAGTGGTTTAGGTACAGGTGAAGTTTTGGGCCTCCCACTGGAACTCACTTCGCCTGGATTAGGATCAGGCACCTTTATTGATGCCGTCTCCCCTTCGGCAGTGTCCTGCTACTGCCAGTCCATTTTTTGTAGTATTATGATAGGTGTTCAGGGTCCACTTAAGAGTGAGCACATGTGGTACTCACTTCTTTGTTTCTGTAATAGTGAGATCACTGAGTATGATAGACTCCAGATTCATCCAAGTTGCTGCAAAGTCCATAATTTTGTCCTTCTTTGTGACTCCATAATATTCCAGCATATATATGTACCACATTTTTTTAATCCAGTCCTCTTTGGATGGGCAGCATGGTTGGTTCCATGTTTTTGCTATTGTGAATAGTGCTGCAGTAAATGTGTGCACAGGTATCTTTTTTGTAGAATGATTTGAGTTCCTCTGGGTATATTCCCAGAAGGCAGATTGCTGGGTCATATGGAAAGTCAATTTCTAGTTCTTTTAGAAATTGTCACACTTTTCCATAGAGAATGAATTAGTTTGCACTCCCACCAGCAGTGTAGAAGAGTTCCCTTTTCTCTACATCTTCTCTAGCATCTGTTGTTGTTTGGTTTATTAATGATGGCCATTCTTAGTAGAGCTAAATGGTATCTCTTTTTTTGAGTTGTAGTCTCACTCTGTCACCCAGACTGGAGTGCAGTGGCACGCTCATGACCACCGCAGCCTCAGCCTGCTGGGTTCCGACAGTTCTTCCACTTCAGCCTTCCAAGTAGCCGGAACAACAGGCGTGCGCTACCACGCCCAGCTAATTTTTGATTTATTGTAGAGACGAGGCCAAATTGCCTGGGTGGGTCTTGAACCTGCAGCTCAGGCAATCCACTTACCTCAGCTTTCCAAAGTGCTGGGATTACAGGCTGAGCCACCAAGCCCCACCAGGTAGTATCTCAATGTGGTTTTGATTTGCATTTCTCTGATGATTAGTGAGGCTGAGCATTTTTTGTGTCTGTGGGCTGCTCATATATCTTCTTTTGGAAAGTGTCTATTCATGATTTTTGTCCATTTTTTAATGGGGCTGTTTGTTTTTTTCCTTTCAACACATTTGAGATCCTTATAGATCCTGGATGTCAAGCCTTTGTTAGATATATAGTTGGCAAATATTTTTTTCCCATTCTGCGGGCTGTCTCCCTGCTCTCTTGATGACTTCTTTTGCTTTGCAGAAGCTTTCAAGTTTGATGAGGTCCCACTTACCTATCTTATCTCTTATGGCATGGTCTTTTGGGGTTTTGATCCGGAATTAGTTACCTGCTCCGACTTCTGTAAGGGTATCTCCTTTGTTTTCTAAGATTCATATAGTTTGAGGTTTTATGCTTAGGTCTTTGATCCATTTGGAATTGATTTTTGTGTATGGTGATAGAGAGAGGTCCTCTTTCATTCTTCTCATGTGGCTAGCCAGTTTTCCCCCACACTATTTACTGAATAGGTTTTACCCTCCCAGTGGTTATAGGTGGAGGCTTTGTTGAAGAACAAATGGTTGAGAAATTGAGGTTTTGCTTCTGAAATCTCTATTCCATTGATCTATATCCTTGTTCTTGTACCGATACTAGGCTGTTTTGATTATTGTAAACTTATAGTAAAGTTTAAAGTCTGGAAGTGTGATACTTCCTACTTTGTTTCTTTTGCTAAGGATTGTTTTGACTATCCGTGGGTATTTTTGTTTCCATATGAATTTCTGTATTGTTGTTTCCAGGTCTGAGAAGAATGATGATGGTAATTTAATAGGTATTGTGCTGAATCTGTAGATCGCCTTGGGTAGGATGGACATCTTAACAATGTTGATTCTTTTTAATCCATGAGCATGGACTATTCTTTCATTTGTTTGTGTCTTCTTTGATTTCTTTGAGCAATATTTTGTAGTTTTCATTCATTTCTCTGGTTAGAAAGATGCCAGGGTGTTTTATTTTATCTTTTTGTGGCTTTTGTAAATGGGATTGTACTTTTTGTTTGGTCTCTGCCTGTTTGTTGTTGGTATATAAAATGCAGCTGTTTTTTGCACGTTGATTTTACCTCCTGAGTCTTTGCCAAAGTCCTTCAGTGCAAGGAGGTTTTTGACAGATTCCCTTGGGTTTTCTAGGTGTAGAATTATATTGTCAGCAAAGAGGAATAACTTGCCGGGCTCGGTGGCTCAGCCTGTAATCCTGTACTTTAGGAGGCTGAGGTGAATGGATTGTCTGAGCCCGCAGGTTCGAAACCCACCTGGGCAACTTGGTGAGACCTCATCTCTACAATAAATCAAAAATTTAGCGGGGCGTGGTAGCCTGCACCTGTAGTTCCAGCTACTTGGAAGGCTGAAGCGGAAGGATCGCTGGAGCCCAGCAGGTGGAGACTGCAATGGTCAGGAGCGGCCACTGCACTCCAGTCTGGATGACAGAGTGGGACTCCAACTCAAAAAAAAAAGAGGGATAACTTGAATTCCTCTTTTCCTATTTGAATACCCCTGATATCCTTCTCCTGTCTGATTGCTCTAGCTAGGACTTCCAACACGATGTTGAAAAAGAGGGGTGACAGTGGGCAGCCTTGTCTTGTTCCCGTTTTCAGGGAATATGCTTCCAATGTCTGTCCATTTAGTAATATGTTAGCTCTAGGTTTATCATGGATGGATGCTACTATTTTGAGGTGTGTTCCTTCTATACCTAGATTTCAAGGGTTTTTGTCAATCAAGGGTTTTTGTCAAGCATAGATGCTGGATTTTGTTGAAAGCTGTTTCTGTGTCTAATGAGATAATCATGTGGTTCTTGTTTTTACATCTGTTGATGTGTTTAATTACATTTATGGTTTTGCATATGTTAAACCAGCCCTGCATCCTGGGGATAAAGTCTACCTGGTCATGGTAGATGATTTTTGAGATGTTTTATTGGATCTAATTTGCTAGAATCTTGTTGAGAATTTTTGCATCTGTGTTCATCAGGGATATGGGCCTGTAGTTCTCTCTCTCTTTGTTGGCTCTTTGCCCAGTTTGGGTATCAGTGTGAAGGTAGCTTCATAAAACGATCTGGAGAGAGTTCCATCTTTCTCGATTTCCTGGAGGAAGATTAATCCTTAAGTGCAATCTCTGTCTGTGTCCATGAGGAAGTTGTTCCAGGACTCCCTCCTCCATGCTTGGGTGCTCAAGTCTCTGGTATGAAATGGCACAGAATTGGCATATATCCCACACACATATTCCCTCCCTTAGACTTTCAGTCATCACTAGATTGCTTAAAATACCCAAGATGATGTCTACATAGTACTTCATTAGCGTAGACTCAGTGAAATACTCAGTGCATGGCAAATTGAAGTTTTACTCTTTTAACTTTGTAGAAATTTTTTTTCTGAATATTTTCAATTTGAGGTTGGTTGAATCTACAGCTGCAGAACCCACGGAAGTGGAGAGTCCACTATGTATTGTCCTGTAACTCGTGTACGTATTCAAGCGCAGATCCTAGAGGAAAGAGAGGAAGCAGAACAGTGTAGTAGGAAAGATCACACAAAGGATCTTCACCTTGCTTAGTGGCCTGCCAGATCCCAGACTTCCCAACCCCAGCAAGCTGGGCAGTGTGCAGGCTCGGTCATCCTCTTAAGACATGCAAGACTCTCCATAGGCTCCTAAACGTCTCTCTCGCTGTCTTTCTCCACAGTGGTTATAGCCAGGAGGTGGTGTGCTACACCTTAGGAAACATCCCTCAGATGCCCTCTGCACCAAGACTGGTTCGAGCTGGCATCACATGGGTCACGTTGCAGTGGAATAAACCAGAAGGTTGTTCACCTGAGGAGGTGATTACCTACACTTTGGAAATTCAGGAGGATGAAAACGTAAGTTTTGCAGAGTTGATGCCCTTGAGCATCTTGCGTAAGTCAGCCTTGTTCTAGCTCCAGGGCACCAAGAATTAGATTAGCTACGGGATTTTAAAACCATACTCTTAATTTCTGCTACCACTACTACCAGCAAAAGCCTGCCCTTCCCCATGCCAATGCACGGCATGTCCATCCTTTCAGTTGGGGAAGCAAAGACCCTATGTGGAGTCGCCCTCGACCCTATGTGTGTCCATCAGCAAATCCTGTTCAGTCTTCTTTTAGAGATTATGTAGGACTCTTCCCATTTTTCATCACCTCCACAGCTATTATCCTTTTCCAAGCTGCCTTCATCTCACCCCTGGATTATTACAATGATGTGTTTGCTGAATGATTGCCTCTTACTGTTATTCCCAGCTCCACCTTTATTAAACTTCAGTCTGTTCACCTCACAAAGCCTGGGTGATCTTGTGAGATGTAAATAGACCAAGTCAGGCTTCGCTTGAAACCTGGCCCACCTCCGTGCCTTCCAGTCTTCAGAGTAAGAGCCCCAACACTCTCACAGTGCCCACAAGGTCCTAGATTGGGCTCCTTATCCCTCCCTCCTTCCTTCCTCTGCTGTCTTACCAGCCTCGTGTCTGTCCCTGGGGCATACCAGATGTGCTGTGGCCTCAAGGCCTTTGAAGTTCCATGCCTTCTGACTACACTGCCCTTTGAAATGTCTTTGATTCACTGCCCTCATTTTCTTCAGGTCTCTTCTCAAATGTCATGTCTTTGGACAGTCTGGTCACCCTGTAGAGCAGACCGACCAATACAGCTTTCTGCGGTGATGGAAATGTGGTGGTATAGCTCATGCTGTTTAGTAAGATGGCACCTAGACACACGTGGCTGTCGAGCATTTGAGATGTGGCTTGCGGGCCTGTGGAACTGAGGTTTTAACTGTAATGAATTTACATTCAGAGCCATGTGTGGCGTCTGTGTTGACAGGCATCTAAAGCAGTGCCTCCCTAGCTCCACCACTGTCCTCTGACCTGGCTTTAGCTTTTGTCAGAGCACTGGACACCAGGTGATGTGTTTTATACGAGGGGTTTTTTAATTGCCTTCTCCAGTAGGCATGTAAGCCTGCGGACGAGGCTTTGTGTGTTTGGGGCAGTGCTGAAACCCAAGAGCCTGACCCAGAGAAGGTGCACAGTTGTGTTTGATGAGTGAACACTGGAGAATACTGTTGAGCAAGTTCCCTGCGTTCACCTCTTAGTGGGACCTTTCCTCTCTTAAAAGACCCTTTACATCGAAGCTGTTCTTTCTCTCTCGGTCAGAAGAGGACACTGTTGTCAGGAGTCTCAACCTGCTCACTGCCGAGCACATAGCTTGAACGAGAAGGTTCAGCACAGGGGCTTGTACCTGGCAGTATTGTTAAATGAGTCTTCAAAAGTACTTACTCCTTTGTCACAATAAAGTTAACCAGATCCAGGGGAAACAACAATGGATAAACTTCTATGTAAGGCTCCAGTGCTATCTGCAGCACCGTGGGCTTCTGATACACTCCCTTGCAGTAGCTGCCAGATCTCTGGCCTGTTGGCAGTGGCGGGGAGAGGCAGTGTAAAAATCCTGTGTACAAAGACATTTTAATGCCCAGATTTTCTGATGCTCGTGTCTCGTTTTCGGTCTTTGCCTTTTCAGGATAACCTTTTCCACCCAAAATACACTGGAGAGGACTTAACCTGTACTGTGAAAAATCTCAGAAGAAGCACACAGTATAAATTCAGGGTGAGCAATCATTGTGGTACCTATACCACTTAAAAATAAAACTGTTTATGTTTCACCATTTACCATTTCAAGTTGACTCTACAGGTTAAAAAATATTTGAAGTTCACAGTGCTTTTACTTTTTTAAAGAACATTATGAAATGCACACCACACTTTAATTTTAAAATCCACTTTTGAGAGCAAAGACTGTGATAATGTGCTATCATCAGTTGCACCCACGGCACGGCTGGCGCCCTCTCCAGGGAAGGGGCACCAGCGTTTGAGTGCACCTGCCACTCCTGCATCCCCACCAGCCCTTCCGCGTTCTTCCTCTTGTTGGATTGCTCTTCTGCTCTTCTCATTTGTTCATCTGCCCATTTCTTTTTCCTCCTTTTATTTTCTCTCCCATTACCCACCCCCTGCCTAGTTAGCCTGTCTTCAATCATTAACAACTGCCATCTTCATGCTACCAAAGGACTTTGTGTTAGAACCAAAAAAGTAAATGTAACTTTGTGATCCTTAAGAGACAAAACTGGTGAACTATAGTCTGTGTTGCAGCACTATTTATCGATCCTGTGCACAGCCCATGTTTCCTCATATTTCAGAGAGAGGTAGTTGTCTTCTGATTTTGCCCTCTCTTCTCTAATTTGGGGACCAAACGGTGTTATTTGGCACATGGTAGTCACTCAACAAACAGTTGTCAAATTAGCAAGTGCAGTGTGTGACTATTTGAGGAATATGATAGCTTTTGACATGTTTTTGGTGCTGGCTATGAGAACATAGTTATTAAAATGATCATTTCTAGCATTTCTCCCTACTCAAAAAGTGAGGCTATTTTTCTGTCTCCTCCAGCCATGTTTTCCTTTCACAAAATAATATGAACTAGGTGGTGACATACCAGTTTTATTATGTCTTTTTGTCGGGATAAAACTGACATATGGTTTTATTGTTAATTGTTAATAGTCAACTATACAGAACATAAATGGTCTGTAAAATATGTACTATTAAATCAGTACTTGAGTTTAGAGAGAGAATATGTGTCTCTGTCCAAGTTTATGAATGCTCTGATCTTACCATGTTAAAATGTCACCGATGACCAGGCTCGGTGGCTCAGCCTGTAATCCTCTTCGGGAGGTCAAGGTGAGTGAATTGCCTGAGCCCGCGGGTTTGAGACCTGCCTAGGCAACTTGACGAGAACTCATCTCTACAATTAATAAAAAAAAAACTAGTCGGGCGTTGTAGCACGCACCTGTAGTTCCAGCTACTTGGAAGAATGAGGCAGAAGGATCACTGGAGCCCAGCAGGTCGAGACTGTGGTGGCCAGGAGCGTTCCACTGCACTACAGTCTGGGCGACAGAGTGAGACTCCACCTCAAAAAAAAATAAAAAAATAAAAAAATAAAATGTCATCATTGATTTAATAATATCTAATAACTGAGGCATGTTAATGTTCCCTTGCTTGTGTTCTAGCTGACTGCTTCTAACATGGAAGGGAAGAGCTGTCCAAGTGAAGTTTTGGTTTGTACGACGAGCCCTGACAGGCCTGGACCTCCTACCAGACCTCTCATTAAAGGACCAGTTACATCTCATGGCTTTAGTGTCAAATGGGGTATGTTTTGCTGCTGCTGCTGCTGATTTTCTTGACAGGTTTTTTTAAATGGATTAATTTCAGTAATGACGAGCCAAAAAAGTTAATGAACAGTATTATTTGCAGGAGTTGCATGCATTTGGAATATATGTATGAGAAACATCCTGTGAATTTACAAACTGAAATGGATAATACTATTAAAATTTTAATGGAAATTAGAATGGATAATTTTAAGAATATCTTGTTTACTTTATGATTTTCCTGTATTTTCTCCTATATTTTTGATGCTTTATTGAATTGAATATAGTAATCTCTAAATACATCATTCATTTTTTAAAAATTGAGCAACATTTAATAAATTGTGATTTATAAAATTAATATTAAAAATAAATTTCAAAATTTAGGCTTGTTATCTTAAGTAAATTTTGGCATACAGAATGCTTAAATTTAGCCGTGAATTAGGAAAATTTTTGTTCTAGTTATTGTTTATATGTACCAGAGTCTTGAACTTAAGGAATTCTTTATATTAAAGTTTATATGGGGTTTGGGGAATAATCCACACGACAGAGGTATGTCATAATATCTGGATATTATGACATACCTCTGTCGTGTGGATTATTCCAGTAAAAATACAGTTAGAAGGTTGAGAAACACTTGTAATTGTATGTAAAAAGTGCTATGATAGGTATAATTTTCACTCATGTCATATAATATTAAACGTAACAGGAAGAAAAATATAGAAATCTAAAGTAATATTTCATCTGACACTGTAAAAACTAGGTGTGCTTTTTACCAAACCATAGAGCTTGTTTCTCAGAGAATCCTAGAAAGTTTTGTCAACAATGAGTATTTACTTTCATCAGCTGTATGCTATAATATTTAACTTTATGCTCGTTATTGTAAACAGAAAAACCCCTTTGTGTCTAAGAATATAGATAGAGGTGGCAGACTGATAATCGAGGTAAACTATAGCTTTGCGAAATTGTACTGCAAGGTGTTTTGCTCCTCAGAAAATAGAACTCCTGCCACCACAGAAGTAAAAGGAGACTGTATATATACCCAAGCTATCACAGTACTTTAGTGTAGGCTGTAACCTTCTTCCTCAGACTGTCTGTACACATGTTCTTACTGGCCCATACCTCTGGTTTTATATCAAGTTCACCTGAGATACAAAGTTTGCTTGGTAGTAAACTATGCTGGAATGGATTTACTTCTTTCTGATGTTTTATTTATCTTGTCAATAATTTTTGTACTTTCTGTTCCTTTCCAACTCTCAAAAAAATCTTGCCACCTATAAAATAAGTTAAATTTGGCCATGCTCAGTGGCTTACACCTGTAATCCTACCACTTTGGGAGGCCCAGGCAGGAGGATTGCTTGAGACTGGCAGTTCAAGACCAGCCTAGGTGGCATAGTGAGACCTCATCCCTACAAAAAAGAAAACAAAATTAAAAAATTAGCCAGGCATGGTAGTGAGTGCCTGTAGTTCATATTGAGTTTTGTTCATATTTCACTAAATAAATGCTAACTCTGGCGTTTCTAGCTCTAAAAACTTTGAATAACCTGCATAATGAACATTTGTATACCTAACCCTGAATTGTACCCCACATATTTTTAAAAAACAAAAAAACTTTGAATAATATGATAGCATTAAAAGATTCTTCTTTTGTTTGTTTCTTTTGTTTTTCAAGAAAGGAGTTGAGTAAAATAAATTTTTCTGTCTTTTGGTTAAGTCCAGAATTAAGACATTATAATGTTAGACAATTTTATGCATTCTGATGATACTTACCCCCCAAAAAAATCCTTTTATTCCTAACAAGACATTTACTGGTTGCTTTTCAGATCCTCCAAAGGACAATGGTGGTTCAGAAATCCTGAAATACTTGCTGGAGATAACTGATGGAAACTCTGAAGGTAAAGTTTTTTACAATTGTGTTATTCAAATCCAGTAGCAAACCCTATTTACTAATATGGTAAACATCTTTATAGTAACAGTGGACAACCATTAATCTGAATGATAGAGCTATTACAGTAAACAAAATTTAATCACATACCGGCAGTTTTTCTCTTGCAAAACACAGCACCAAATATCAGAGTCTGCTTGAAATGTACATTTTTGGCATTTTAAACATTTTTTATGTTTTTTTTAACTAGAGCTCCTAATTTAATAGAATAAATAAAGTTGTTTTCCTCTCCTAACTTGCCACATTTTTCTGGGAATTCTTATAGTCAGAGAAAATACCAGAAGAAGGATGGTTGCGTTGGAAACAGTAAAGTAATCTACAAATTCCCATGTGTGATGGCAAACAGTGTATTATATTGTATGCTGTAACAAGGGTCACACTTCTGCAAGTTTAGAAAATGTCTTTTCATCTTCATTGTGATTTTTCGCTTAAATTATTCATTACTGTATACACTTGGCCTATAGTAGGACTGTGTTAGAGATCAAATTAATAACACTTTTTAAAAATTTTTGAGGTTTTCTTTCTAATAAATTTTATTAGACTTTAATAGAGAAAAGCAGTTATCAAAACTTTCAAAATGACACATTATCTCACCACTATAATAACTCCTATAACTGTAAAGTTTTTATAAAAGTGTTTACATACTTATGGCCAAAAAGAAGAAAAAAATGAAAGAGTTGACAGTGACTTTCATCCTGCACTACAGCAGCGCCTGGAATTTTTGGTTTCAAAGTCTTTCAGGTCCTATTTTAAGCTGAAACCATGAGAGTTCTATGAGAGAGCACAACTCTTCTTAACGTAAAGTCATATTTTGTGCTAAAAATTGATTTAGCCTTTTTGTGTTACAAAACCTACCTAGGAGGGAAGTCATAGATGTATGTCAGTGGCTCACTGTGAAAACCTAAACATGTCTTGATGGCTGTCTCAGCTACTGGTGGCAAGTTAAAAGTAGGCACCATTCTGGACTTATAGTTAACTACTTTGCCACTGCATGGGTGAATGATTACCTGAATCTTTTCAGAAATTCATGTTCTCAGCTACCTTTTCAGTACAGGTTTTCTGACCTGTGATACTGGGATCATTGTTTTTAATAGTCCCCCTTCTCCTATGGCCTCGATGCGGGTGACCTTGCTATAAATATAGCCTAATAAGCAGCTGAGTTATTATGGAAGTTACTCTAGTAAATTATCTTGTACTAGAGTAAAAGTAGTTTCCGTAAATCAACTTCATGGAGTAAAAGGCTTTTGTGAAGTAGTGAGCTGGAAACAAAGCCTGAGAGAGGAGGGAAAAGCATACCAGCAGCCCAGACATGCGAGGTGGCCAGCAGTTGACACAGCCCCAGATGCTCTCTCTTCATGGTCTCAGCCTCATCAGGCATCCAGCCTCCTCTGGCCACCCCGCTTGCTCTCTTCAGTTCCGGTCAGTAGTCAGATAAAACCTGGCTCATACCAAGTGTTGGATTCTTGTCATCCTCCCTGGTGGCATTTTTCTGTTAAGTGGGGCTGCGTAAAGACAGCCGGAAGACCCAGGCTCTAACAAGAAGATTTCATTTACTTTTAATCCCCAGGAAAATACGAACAGGGAGGAACTCATCAGCAGCTCCCCCTCCCACACTTGCCAGAAGCCTCGTGGCCAAGCAGGCAGCCACATCCCTGGCTGCCCCTGAGGCCTCCTCACGCTGGAAGGGTTTCCTAGCATGCTCAGCCCTCCTCCCATGCCAGCTGCACACTTTAGCTGGTTTCTCTCACCCAGGCGCCATAGTCAGCAAATGTAACAGTGGTGATATTAAGTCGTCTAGCCAGCAGTGCTAAGTATTGAAAATGACTCCCTGTGTTTTAGTATTTAACTTTGTAATTTAAAAAAAAAAAAAGAACTTTTTGGCTATTTTTCAAACAACAGTAGATATTGGTTTTCATGAAGATCACAGAACTTTTTCTTGTCAGTAATGGCTGATGTTTCTACATTTTGACAAGAGATATAAACTCACTCATGAGTCTTGTTTTACAGCAAATCAGTGGGAAGTAGCATACAGTGGATCGGCGACAGAGTACACCTTCACCCACTTGAAACCAGGCACTTTGTACAAACTCCGAGCATGCTGCATCAGTACTGGTGGACACAGCCAGGTAAACATCTTTGGTCAATGGCAAGCTGTCTATAACATCGAGATAAAACTACAGTTTAAAAATGTATCTCAGTAATGCAGCCTGGTGGCATAACATTAGGAAATTTAAAATAAAACTTTTTGAATTGTGCTATAGAGGACATAAAAGATAGTCCCAAATGATTTCTATCTGAATTATGGTAATTTCAGGCACGTTTGTCGTTTAGTTATTTCTCAGAAGGCTTTGGCATAATCACACGCGACAGTTGAGAATTGTCTGGAATTTGCATTCACCAAATAAAAAAGACGTCAGTTATTACAATGGTGGGAAAATAGAAAACATAGAGTCTAAGAGATAAGACTTGTGTGGCTCTGCTCTTAAAGCGTCTGTCAGTTTTGTGAGAACGGTAGAGACATACCTTCCTCGAGGTATTTTACTGCCATCTGCTGGAAAGCCGTTGTAAAGACCTAGTAAATTTATGATGACCGGGCTGAGTAGCACATTCGTTTTCCTGCTGTCTGGCATGTATGCGACCTCCGCCTGGCCAGTTAACAATGCCGGGAGCCTTGGTATCAATCTCATGATGTGCCTGTGGGCCCCAAACACAGGAAGTACTCTAAAATGAGGTGATTATTGTCTAAATGACTTTAATTTACATGTAAAGAAGCTAGTAGAGACAAGATGTTAAAAGAGATTTTCACTATGGAAATATTTAGGATTATGGTTGAATCTACTAATATTTAGAGAGAAAGAAAGAGAAGGGGAGATGGTGGCTTGTGACCCTGTGCTGGGTTGAGTCCACAGGCATAGGCCTGCCATTTGAGTGTCTAACTGTTGCAGTCAGCCCACCTGCACTGTCCACTCTTATGCTTATTTCCCCGCCCTTCCCCCCAAGGATGACAGTGCTGGATCATCTAGATTGCCCATATTAACAGACTCCCTGTGAAGAAGGTACCATGGGCCCATCCTTCCACAGTGCCAGAACCTTCTGGAATGCCTTGCAGGGTGGAGTACATCAAAATCAAAGCCAAAATTATCAGCGGGTGGTTCCTGTGCTTGTGAGGCTGCAACATGTATAGAGCCCACTTCCTCTGCACTGCCTCCCTCTGGAAGAAGACAGAGTGTGGTTGAGCTGCATACTGTACCTTGTTTTCTCAGGAAGACAGCTTGCACACCGCCAGTCTTACACAACCAGGTCCTGCAAAATGAAGGCCTACTTGTTTTAGCAGTAACAGAACCTGCTGGTTAACATCAGACTCAGTTGACTGGATATTGATTATATTTGCTTTTTAGCTCTCTATGTGAAGAGTTGGCCATTTATGACACCATTTTAAAATTGTATTCAGCTGTCGTTTTGTGATCTCTTTTGTCCTCATGAAGAGTCTTTCTAATTTTGTTTTAAAGGAAAGTATTTGTGTACTTAGTATACACAGCACTTGCAACTGCTAATCTAACCTTAAAAATAATTTTCTTGGGCCTGGGCCGCAGAGTGTTTTTACCAGTGCCATATGTAGCATATGTCCACTCTTAAACCATGCACACACTTTTCTATGAAGATCTCACTGCATAAAAAGCATATGATGAGTGCACATTTACTGTGTAACCCTTTTTGATAGCGTTTACAGTTATGAAGTGGAATTTGCCTGATGTGCAGAGGTCTGTTAGATTCACATAACTAAGAGATGATTCTCTCCGGTATTTCTCCTGCAGTGTTCTGAAAGTCTCCCCGTTCGCACACTAAGCATTGCACCAGGTCAGTGCCGACCACCGAGGGTTTTGGGTAGACCAAAGCACAAAGAAGTCCACTTAGAGTGGGGTGAGTGAATAAATCTTCACATTGACGTTGACTTTCTGGACAGTTGGAGATTAATGCCTAATGTTTTATAGCTTCGTGTCAGGACTTCCTTTTAACTGTGTGTCTTTTTTTCTGTTGGACGTGTCTGTATTCTTCTTAACGTACATTGGCCCGGGTTTTTGATGTGTGTCACCCCCTACACACACACACACACACACACACACACGCACATGCTTGCTCATCACCCTATCCCAGATGGAGCCACACACGCCAGTCAACCTCACCCTCCCCTTCTCTAGGGAGTGTCTCAGAATAGCCAGTTTGATCATGAAAGGAAAGTTGGGCTCAATTTAGAAATAAAGCCAAGAAATGGTTCATAAGGTACCATTGAGCTCCCCCTTCCCTTTGCACACGGCCCCCTTGCTGCATCATTGTGGGTGGGTCCTGGTGCTTTACAGCATTGACTAAGCTGTGCTAGCATTTCTCATTGTGCCGCAGTTTACAACATGGAACATTGCAAGTATGAACATGCAGGGCTCTAGCAAACTATTTTTCCCCACCACTTATGTCTAAAGTATAAAACAGTGTGCCAGTTTGGGGTCCTGCATCTTGATTTAGCATGTCCTTTGGTTTTAAGCTGAAGACTTTCATTCCCTCTATTTCTCCTATTTATCTTGCATTAACATGTGAAGACATTTGTGTCATAATTATTTTGTTAATGCCATTATATATACTTGAGTGCCTTGGTTAGTATCCCTAACCTCATACAGGAACTTTTCCTTTTGTATCCATTTCTTTCTTTGGCGGGCAGGGATTCTTTTGTAAGAGAGATACTCAGGGCAGTCCACCCACGTGACATTTTGCACAAGTTGTGTGAAATCGGGTGTGACTCGGTCAACTAGAAGCACAAAAGTTTCTAAGATGAAGAAAATCCTTCATCCCCAGATGTCCCTGCATCTGAAAGTGGCTGTGAGGTCTCAGAGTACAGCGTGGAGATGACCGAGCCCAAGGATGTGGCCTCAGAAGTATACCACGGGCCGGAGCTGGAGTGCACTGTCGGCAACCTGCTCCCTGGAACCATGTATCGTTTCAGGGTGAGGGCTCTGAACGATGGAGGGGTGAGTATAGGGCTATCCCCCATGGTCAGAATGCGAGACAGGAGCACTTCTGTGTCTGCCCTCCTGACATCCTTGGCAGCATCTATCCAGCCTTGATAGCCAAGAAAGGGGCGTCTGCGATCTTATTTCTGAGTAGGTGTTGTGACCCAGCATTGGAAATTTTCTGGGTTTTTTGTTCTCACACTGTTCTATTAAGATTAAGGTTAATTAGAACATCGCCGGGTAGATGCTTTTGATAGTCTTTGGAAAATTTCCTACTCTCTTGTTGACTTGATTTATCAGTTTTGAAAAGTTAGGACTACAGAATAGTTCTAACAAAAGTTCGCTACCATCTTGTCTCAATGAAACAGCAATGTCTTAGGTCCATTTTTAAAGCTGCAAAGGGGTAGAGTCTGGGATGCCAGCTTATTTTTGTCTTAAAGGAAAAGTGCAGAACTTTCTGGCCCTTCCTTCTAGTGCTCCATCTGGAGTTTTCAAGTTGAGCTATCAGAGATTGAGAGTATGTATGTCTAAACTGTATCCACAAAGGTGCTTGTTCTTCTTTCTTTGAAATTGCAGACTGATATGGCGGGGCGGATTCTTAATGAGCAGGAGGAAGCCCAGAGACCATGGGCTTTGGTGTGTCAGGGATGGGGGTTGGGGGGGGCGTGAATGAGGGCAGGAGGTGTGGGTGAGTAAACTGATGCTGCAGCCCTCCCCAGAGTGCCAGTGGGCATATGACAGGCTCTTTGCAAGTAAACTGACTTAATTAATTGATGAAGTTTTTAAAAATAAGAAAACCCAGCTTACGGTGACTCTGAGTTGCCAGTGACTTTTTTTCTAGTTCCCAGAAGTGAAATGTGTTTGTCTGTCTTTAGCCAGTTCATGTTAGCCACAGCTGGCTATGAAGACATTTGGTCTGAAGTAGCCTGTCGGACCTTGAACAGGAACTGATTTTCTTCTAGTTCTCACTGGGGGAGAATTTCAGACACAACAAAGACCTGCAAATCAAACAAAAACACCTAAACATGAAAGCCTGTGCACCCGGACTTAGATGTAAGTGGCAGGGAGATGGGTGCTGGTGACCACACTGTTGTGCCTGCCCCGGCCCAGCCCCTTCTCAGGTCCCTCTGCCGTCACAGAGGTCTATGTGCAGCGGGGCTGGGGGGAGTATTACTCCCTCACTCCCTGCACTGGTCAAAGAAACCGTCTGTAGCTCGGGTTTGTTCCTGTTGTTTTGAATGTTAACTATATGGCTGTAATTATCTTGAAGTCCACTTCACAGAGCTTGCCCTCCACTACCCAGGATCTTTGCAAATTGTGTTAGAACATACGAGAGGTGTCTTTTTAAAAATCTTTTTTCCCATTTTGAAAAGCACAGTCATATATTTCATTAACCTGGAAAGTATTTTACTGTTTGCCCCAACTCTTTGAAGGATCAAATATTCCAACGTTAAAATGGGTGGTTTGGGTTGTTATGGCTCTCTCAAAATGTGTTAAGTCTAGTGATGCTGGGCTCTGAGTGGTAACATAAAGAGGAGTGCAGTGAACACCTTTGAGTAGTTGAAATGGTGAGGACGTGCTGAGAAGGCATTATGGGAACATTAGTTTTCCAAATGGGAAATACCAGTAACTAAAAGAAATACCTAGAATTTGATAACTAGAAATTTCAAGTCGGTTTTTGTGCATGAAAAATTCAACTTCAGTGTGCGTTTGACTTAGTTTTCTTTGATGGTCTCTGAAAAATATTAAAGCAGATTGCCCTGTTATGGCCAGAATCACCATGCTTTTGTTTCTGATGTCATATTAAAGGAAAAATGTTTCATAAACCAACTTTCTAATTCTTTTGAATTAAAAATGTACATAGCTAACAGGTGTTTACTACTCAGGGAATGTATGTAGGATAAAACCTTAGACACGTTCAGATGAAAGCGCAAACCATCAGGAGACACTTTTTAACCAGTCATGTTGATGGTGATGTTAGCCTCGCTCTTTGTTTATAAGCTTTTGTATGCCCACACGCACAAACACATGCATATCTATGTACAGACAAGCGTATGTGTTCTTTCCTTTCAGTACGGCCCCTATTCTGATGTCTCAGAAATCACCACGGCAGCAGGGCCTCCTGGACAATGCAGGGCACCTAGTATTTCCTTCACGCCCGACGGGTGTGTGCTGGTGAGTTGGGAGGTAAGTCAGGCATGTTCTGCATCAGTTTCTGTTTATTTACTTTACCTACGCCCAAACACAGATTCAAGTTAGGAAACCATGAAGCTAAGTGTACATGTAGATTACGATTCTGCTCTGTGTGAGGTGGGCTCCCTTGGCTCTTGCTTGCATCCTTCAGAGTTGTGGCAATTTTACTACTGGTCAGAATTGAGAAGAGATTAAGTGTTTCTTGCACCTTTCTGCTACATGTGTTTGGAATGTTCTGGGTGTGTTGTTCTCTTTCCTGTTTTAGTTAGTTGAACACAAGCACAGAAGAATTTTCTTCTCAGTGGAATTATTTTGACTGGTTGAATTTCTGCTTTCCAGAGTCCTGAGAGCTCTGGTGCCGACATCTCAGAGTACAGGTTGGAATGGGGAGAGGACGAAGAATCCTTAGAGCTTGTTTACCATGGCACAGACACCTGTTTTGAAATAAGAGATCTGTTGCCTGCTGCACAGTACTGCTGTAGACTACAGGTAGGTTGACGTGATTCAGATAGGATTCATGAGGACTTAATGTTCCATGAAAGACTCTTTGGAAAGCCCACACCAAGGCTTGTGATGGAGGGATCAGGAGGGATGATATGGAAAAAAGAGGCCTTTGAAATAAACATAAGTATGGTTGTTTTGGTATCTTATGGCTCATATCTGCCTCTCTAGGAGATCTTGAAACTTAAGAACAAAATAAGATTCTTCTCTTTCTACTTCTTACCACCCATATCTCATTCCATGTTTGCCCGTTTGCTGAATAAATGACCAAATCTAAGGGAAAGAGGGCACAACTCCTTAGGGCAGGGGCTGTCTAATCCCTGTGAGGTGCACATTTCAGTGGGAAAGCCACTTGGAACTGCCAGAAGACAGAAAACTATTTACCAGCTGCTGAATGGAGCCAAAAGCAATATTAAATAAATTTGGAGGTGTCTGCATTAGCTGACAGCCCTTACCTCCCTCCTCCCAATACGGTTATCTTAAGCTTCCACTCGGGAGTCCAAATGGAAGAACATCCAGAACAATTGGTTCATCGCCTAACCCCCAAGGGGGATGATAATCATGGGTTTACTTTTACTTTATTCACTTGGATAAATTATTATGTTTTCTCTGTAAAGCCTTAGTGTTCTGAGAAAATAAGTTTCCCTGCCCTTTTCCTCCCACTAAATGTGTTTAGTAACGTTTCTTGAGCACACGATTGCGCCAGGATCAAGTGGGGGGAGTCAGGAGGAGAGATGCAAAGAGTGATCTTGTGTGGTTGTTGAACACGCAGAGCTCTGTCTTCCCACTTATTTAGATTTGAGTCGATACGGAAGCAGAGATGCCAGGCTTAAGTCGCAATCAAATTGCTTATTAGGTACACCCATTGTCTCTGGCCCCTTTGAATAAAATATCCCCTTCATAAGTTAATTTTCCATGTCAACTGAAACATTTCTGTTCGATTCTGCTGTATTTTAAACATTTCTGCTTAAACTCTTTTGTTACACACTATTGCTCCTTCTCGAATAAAGCACCTGGGACATAATTAACCTTTTGTCAATGAGTCAGTGTTACAGCAGATTATCAGATCTTTATCAGAGGATGCTGAGTCATTGCAAAAAGGTTCGGTTATGTGGCACAGTCCTGTTTTTGGACCCAGGCAGGATGTAAGTAAAGAGCTTTCTGCCACCACAGTGACGAGCTTCACTCTACTATGCTTTTCAAGATTTTATATGTTTTTAAATGTTCTTATATTTCTGTTTTTCTTTTCAGGATATATGTTGTCACTTAGCATTGACTTCCCAGAAATGCATTCTAAAAGATGCATTAATAAGATTCATAACTGCGTAATAATTTTGCCTCTCTGTATTAATAGAAAGAGAAAATATTTTCAAATATCTATACTTATTGGTCATAAAATGAGTCAGATGTTTTGAAGGGGATAGTACTCTTAAAACCACCACTGCTGATGCTAAGAAATATTCCATGGAAAGAGTCTCCTCAACCTATATTGATTTCTTGCTATTTATGGATCAAATATGACATTATTATAAAGTATTCTTTTGAATGTTTGGCAGCTTAAAAATTAAAGCATTGCAATACCTATACTATGTTTTATAAAAATTGGGTGAAAGAGATCTTGCTTTGCTCAGGAATTTTTGAATTTTTATATTCTTACTTAGCAATACTTTAAGAAGTACCAGCATAATTCTATTTATTAGACATATTGTATATTATAGGCATACTATTATTTAGTAAAAGATGCTTTTGAATTAAGTTTCCTTTGAAAACTAGTAATAATAAGTGATGTATAATAAATGGTGTAAATCTAGAAAGCGTTTTCCATAGAGCCAAGCTAGTTAGAAGAAAGTAGGATTCTGGGATAGGAAAAAGACAGCTGGAAAAATTGGTAAGATTCTAATCAAGTCTATATGTTGTTAATAGTATGGCATCGGTGATAATTTCCTGATTTTGATGATTATTCTGTGGTTATGTAAGATGTTGATATTAGGAAAAGCCAAATAAGAGATATACAGAAATTTCTCTACTTTTTTTACCACTTGTTCCTGTAAGCCTAAAATTAGTTTAAGATAAAGAGGATTTTGAAGAAGTAGGGAAAGTGGGACAGGAGATGCAGTGGAGTTTGTGTGAAGAGGGAAGGGGCAGAAGTGAGGGGCCGGGGTGGCCGCTTGAGCATGAGATGTCTACTGGAAGTGTAGATGGAGGATTCAGTAAGCAGCTGAATACAGATACCTGAACTAGACATCCTGGATAGAGGTCTGGGCTGTGCGTCTAAATGGGAGTAGCTAACAGATGATATTTACCTACTGAGACAAGATGAAATCTCCAAAAGTTTGAGTCAGTATAAAAGAGAGGAATTGCCCTGGCATATACCAGCACTAAGAGATCAAGGTGATGGCAGTTGGCAACCAGCAAAGGTGATAGAGAAGCAGCAGCAGGTAAAGTAGGAGGAGAAACAAGAATGTGGGGTTCCGGACACCAGGTGGTGAGTAAGGATCTAAAGGGGCTGGGAGAGGTTGGGATGTCAGCTGTTACTCTCAGCTAAGTCTGAGGAGGGCTGAGAACTGACTTCAGGTGTGGTTTTATTATTCGCATGGAGAACTGTAGCTACCTTTTCTAAATCCCTACTGCGGTTTCAGGACAGCAGGAGACTTAAAAATCAGATGGACTGGATTCCAGTCCCAGCTTTGCCTTTAAATGAGGCCTACGTTAGTTACTCTGACTCTGAGTGCTCTCCTCTGTAAAAGGCAGGTACACTTACCTGCCATTTAAGATTTACCTCAGAGGATTATTGTGAAGATCACATAGGACGTTAACTAAGTGGGTCATGCAAATATAAAGTGTTATTTTAAAATTATTCTTCGTCAGAAGTCATGATGGCCATGTTACCTCTTGCTTTATTAATGGAAAAGATATGATTGGTGTTTTTCGGAAAGTGGTCATGGGATTAAAGCAGACAGTTTCTAGGATTTATTTCTACCTGCATGTCTAGAAATAAATTGCATGCTTACTTCAGATTTATTTAACGGCAGCTAACGTGGAGGCATGAGAATGTGCTAATGGTGTTACGTGGCCTCTGTGTCTCTGTTCTGTTTTATAGGCCTTCAATCAAGCAGGAGCAGGACCACACAGTGAGCTTGTCCTTTGCCAGACACCAGCGTCTGTCCCTGACCCCGTCCCCACTCTCTGTGTCCTGGAGGAGGAACCTCCCAGTGCCTATCCTAACTCACCTTCCGTGTGCCTTGTGCTGAGCTGGGAAGAGCCATGCAACAACGGATCTGAAATCCTTGCTTATCACATTGAGTTTGGAGACGCTAGCATTACCGTGGGCAACACCACCACCCACATTATGAGAGATCTCCTTCCAGAAACCACCTACCGGTGAGTACAGGGAAGTCGAAATAAAGCTGCAGCAACACACCAGCGATTGGGGCTACAAGTGAACCTCCAGGGGAGAATAATCAACAAGTGCATCTCCCTGCTGTTCCCAAGAGACCAGATGTCCAGAGTATTGTCTCACTCTGAGCCCTCAGGCCGGAAGACCCATGGAAAAGCCACAGTGGTCTGGGAACTCCCTGGATGATTTTGTGTTCACTCTGACTCATACTCTACCCCAGAGTGAACTCAAAACCTTAGGTCAGTCTTGTGAACATTCAGGTCAGAAATTATTTTAAAACTTTGGCAAGGTGTTAGCCCACGAATTTCGCTTCTTCCAGACATTTCAGTGTGGCTTAAATGATTGTAAAACTTTTAAGATTTGTAGAAGGAAGGCATTGGAGACATACTGACTTCTATTAAACAACCTATTGTCAAGTGACTTCCAAAACAATCTAGATTTCAGGGCCTCAAATGAAGGGACAGATGTTGAGAATCTTTGTTTAATAAGGAAATGCCAATAGCAGTTGAAATTATCAAAAATATCTTTCATATAAGTGGTTGATTTAAAAACATACTAGAAAGTACCTTAGAAGATAATTCTTTTATAGGGAAGATGAAATAGTTTAGAAATGTAGGACCTGTCAAAAGGTGAGCTTAGATTTGGATAGTAAAACCTCAAAACTATTAAAAAGTATTTGATAGATGTAGCATAAATAACTTTAATTCAGTGTTAATATGCCAAGGCTAGTATATTGAGCTAAATGTGAAACGAAAGTCACAATGGGAGGATGTCACCTTTTAATCTTACAGGGTGGCTTGTAAGGTACCATTTTAGACAGATAGCATGGAAATTGAACAGTTTTAGGAAAAGCAGATCTTTGGCCCTAATCATATAGTGTGATCTTAACCAAAAAGAAAAAAAAAGATGTGACCAAAGTCTTTGCTGACCAATAAATAAATCATAAACTAGATGTTTTATACTTAAGATATTAAAGTAATTTATGTTTTGTGAAACTTTATACAACTTTACGAATTTAGTTTCTGTAGTACACAGTTGAGTACTACAAGAACTCTGATCGGCCATTGCTTTGCTAAGCTCTGGTGTCGCCATGTGCTCTTTGAGCTAAGGCTGGACTGTGTTTCTCAGGTGCTGGCCCCCTCCCCTACCTTAGGGAGGTGAATCCCCTCCTTCTCTCTAATTTATTTTATAAATAAACTGTATTTTCTAATCTAAAAAAACCCCAGATCAACCCTGTTTTGTTCTTCACGTTTCAGAAACAGAACTGCAATAATTACAATGAAATGCCAAATGAGTATTTCAAGTAACTAAAGGATACAATTTTGATCCAGTCAACTTTTATCTTACTTTTACTGTCCCATAAGTTTGTTAAAACATAAGTGAACAGATCCTTCGAGTTTGTTCCTTACCTGTGTTGCCAGGGTGGTTTAGTGCCTCTTTCTGGTAAACCACTAAAGCTTACAAAACTACTCATTGGCTTGCTGATATACCCTATAGAAATCATTGAAATTGCCGTACTAGTTTTAAAGACATTGCTTTTAGGTTTATAAACTCAGTTTGAAATTGAATGTGTGTTTTGGTTTGAAGAGAAAACAGTTATTAAAAATGGAAACCTCACTTTCCTTTGCGTACTTCCATAGACGTTGCAAGCCTAGAGAGGTACCCGGAGTCACCCCTACCCAATCTCTTGTCTCCAGCATCTTCAGTGATGGGGGGGCAGTGGTTCCAGCTTCCACTCACCAGGCAGCCCATGCTTTTTGTGAATAGCTCTATTTTTACAGTGTTTCTCTTATATTTGTTCAGGCCTCTATCTAAAATCAACTCAGTTGACCCTGGAACTTCCCTGAGAGCAGTGGTTCTCAAAGTGTAGTGGCTGGACCAGCAGCGTTGGCATCACTTGGGAGCTTGTTAAAACGCAGATTATCAGGCCCCATCCCGGACCTGCTTCATCAAGCATTAGAGGAGTAGGGCCTAGTTCGGGGATCGTTAATTAGCCTTCCAGGAGATTCTGATGCCTGGCAAAGTGTGAAAACTTCTGCCCTAGACCAGTGATTCTTAAATGTCATTGTACGTAAGAGTTGCCCTGAGAGCATTTCCAAAATGCAGGTGTCTGAGCCCCACGCCTGTAGACTGTGACTTAGTAGCCCCCAGAGGGGACCTAAGCGTCATTATCATAATATCAGCTGCCTCAGATCAGCTGTCCCCACCATCATTCAGATTGTCTTCACTAGCATGGGTGTTCTGTAACCTCCCCCAACCTCTTCTTTGGATGATTTCTGTTTCTTGATGGCCTCCCGGACTTGCAATACCCAGACCTCCAGGAATGAACCAGGACTGCCACCTTCCTTGTTCTCCGTGCTGGGTAGTAAGATTGTCTGAGATTACTGTTTTTTCTTTTTTAGCAATTATATGTCTTACTCATTCCAAGCTGGCAAACAACTAAAACTTATAAAGTAGATTTGTTTGTTATGCTCCTTTTGCTAGGTAGAAAGGGGATGCAAATAACAGTTATTGGGTCCTTACTATATATTAGGTGCTCTGTTAGGCTGCCAAGAAGTGAATCATAAATCGTTTTTTCACAATTAAGATGAGGTGGGCTTTAGTAAGAGACAAGCTCTGTAGTAACAGACTGACCTTGATTCCAATCCTGGGTCCCTCCCTGTCTCTGTGACCTTTGGCAAGTTATTTAAGCTTTTCGTGCCTCAGTTTCCTGATCTATAAAATAGGGATAATTTTAACTACCTATCAGGGATGTTTATGTTGTAGATAAGAGTTTAGGTACCTAGTATTTGCTTGACACATAATAAATAAGTCACCAGTTAATTATCTGTTGTTAATGTTTGGTAGGGAAGAAATGAGCTGGAAGGGCGCTTGTGACCAGATCATAGATCAGCTTATCTGTGGAAATCTGGCATTATCCTTTAAGGATTTTTCCTCTTCAAGACAAAGCATGAGAAACCAAATGGAAGGGACTGGAGTTGGAATGGTGGTGCTGTAGCTAAAGGAGCTGTCTGGGGAAGGAGCTTGTTGAGGCTGCTCTGGTTCCTCCGAGTGCATCTTTTTTCCCCAAAAGGAATTTTCTGCATTTATGCTGTTATTTCATACTTCTTTAGAAGTTCTCTGATGATTATTTTCTTTCCTATTTTTCTTAATTAGATGGTCAGATGGTAGTCTAGGGTTGGCTTCTCAGACCTCTCTTACCCCAGCCCTTTGCCCGGGGACCCTTCAGTCCCCTCACCCCACACTCACGACTTTCTGAGCTCTGGGATGACTCATCTAGATGAGAGAAGTCATCCTCCCAGTAAGGATGGTTTGTTTTGAAAGTCCTTCTTTTAATATATTTAGTGTTGGAAATTTGAAAGCTGTGATCTTCTGAAGCAAGCATGTATTTAGCATCTAGAACTAGATATTTTAATAGTTGATTTTTAGTAAAAATGTATAAGGAACATGCTTAGTTTGATGTACTTAATATTGTTAGTGTATTGATGGGTATTACAGACTTCTGGAAACTTGGAGAGATTTTTGTTTTGTTTTTTTTAATATTAGACTGGCCAAGATGGAGTTGGAGTTACCTTACGCCTCCAAATTGGAAAGCAAAATTCCATTTCTCTTGTACTTAATTTGCAGAGCTTTAAGATTTCAAAAATGGACATAATGCAAGTTACGCAAAACAAAACGAAAGACCAGCAGATTTCATCTAAGTTTCAAAAGTAACATTTACTTCAGCTATAGAAAAAGCTTCCTCAAATTTGGGTTTGGGATAGACTTAATTAATTTAATAAATCTTAGTTTTTATTTTCTGAGGTGAATCATTGGAATTGCTCCTCGGGTTAGGGTTTGTTTTGCTCATTAATCCCACGTCACCTCTCACTAGCAGGAAATTCTTTTCACATGCTGTGTTTTTCATCCCAAAATAAAACCAACAGCAACTGCCTTAGTCCTCGGTTAGTTTTCTCAGCTTCCTGTGCTCAGAAGTCTTAATATTTTCCCCACGATGCAACAGGCCATCGCCTCATTTCATTTTATCAGTTTCTCAGTTCTTTTTCAGTTTTGAGTGTTGCTTTATCATTAGAACTAGCTAATGTTCACTCAGTGCATCACTACATAGACAAATGTTTTTCATGAGTTTTGCTGAAGCAAAATATGTTTTTGTGAAAATGCAGGGTAGGTTGAATTGAATGTTTTTAAAATCTAGATAATTGATTTCAGGGCCAGATGATAATTGAGTAGAGTGAAAATAAACACGTTGACTGTTCTAAATGCCTGTTTTATTGGCAAAAGACAGTTGTTAAACTGAAAGTGTGATTTGAATTGAAATGACTTTTGGGGGGATTTGTGGCCAGGTCTTGTCCCAGTTATGATAGAGAATTTGGTGTGCCAGATGTATGGAGTCCTTTGAGCTTGATGGGGGCCAGTTCGCACCCCAATCTGACCTGAGTCCCACGTGGGATCAGTGCAAGTGGCTGGACCTCACTTAGCTTCACTCACGAAGTAGACAAGTAGTTCCTACCTTAGAGGTCAAAGCAGAAATTAGGAATAGCGCTACATATGTCAAACCTAGATTTTCACCCCGAGTAGCTGCTATGTCATTTAGATTGGGTCACTTAGCCTCTCTGAATTTAACTTCAGTTTCCTTGCCTCCAACAGCAGAGATAATAGTTTGCACGCTGTAGCACATTGGCAGTGTTTGTTGTGGTAGTTGCTGGTACTGTTTTCATCAGTACTTGAGTGCTTTGCCTCACCCTCCCCTTCAGAGGATGGCTTAGAAAAAGTTGCTGAGTTCTTGAAAGTTACTGAGAGGAAGGAAAAGCATAGGTATATTTCAGTAATCATTTAAGACAGACTTTATAAATAGCTCACATCAGACCATGGGCTATATTGGAAAGCCGGACTTCTGGGGCTTTTGGAAGAACGCAGGACCCGCTGGAAGCTCTGGGCTCTTGGAGCCTGGGAGGGAGTTGGTGGTTTGCGCCCCTTTGGCTCA